GGTGGGGTAACTGACAGCTACTATATGACACGCACACACACAGACACACACACACACACACACACACATTGTCTCGCTCGCTTGCCTCCTCACTCGCTTGGTCACCTGTGCGCAGCAATTCGTGACAATTTCCATTTCTAAAAGTTGTATTCGTATCTGATTTACAGTTGCTGCGGCTGTTCTGCTGCTGTCAGCGAAGCTAATAGCAGAAGATTCTCTGCTTATCACTTGCCGACATGCTCTAGACTTTAAGGCCAGCATCGATGTATTTGTGCAACTCCCAGAGAGTCGCAGCCGACTCAGTGCTAATTGCAACCAGCACGCACATTGACTTAACGGCAATGGGAGATGAACGCATCTCATCAAACTGTTGCCTTTGCTGTGGGAGGTCATTTCATTTGAGAACTAAATATGTTGCTAGACTTGTAGTGGGTGACCAGACAAGCGCAATAGGAAAACAAATTAAACTCAAGCCGAAACGGCTGTCGATATTGAGTTCATTCTACTCTTGTTTTAGTGCTGCATTTATGCCATTTGGACCATTTATTAATTGGCTGCCATAAAATTGGCATCAAAATTTTTATAGATTCAAACAAAGGAATCAAATTGCCATAAATCAGAGACTTTTGCCTATGCATATAATAATAAATAAATATATTTGTATTGCTTTCCTTTTCCGTGTTTATGGAGTGTCGCATTGTGAGATTTATGGAGAACGCACATGCCACAACCCGCACCCTCCATCGAGGCTAGGCTCTGCCTGGAGTCGAATCGCACTGAACTGCACTGGAGCATTGTCACAAAAACATTATCGAAATTGAATCACTTGAGCAATTTGTAACGCAACCCACCCCGACGCACATGGAGTGTGGATATAGTATATATAGTTAGCCAACAATCTGGCAGGGAGGCTGTCACAATAACAAAGCAAACCAGACTGGAAAGATTTCGGTAGCAGGGTGAAGTTGATGAAACTAGATAAACATGACCAGAAACATAAAAAAAACAAGTATGAGTGCTCCAGGCGGGAGTGCTCGACTAGGAGATACCCAAATACCCTGGCGGCTAGACGAACTTGTCTAGATGTCGGCACAGCTTGTCGTGCTCATCAATGGCGTCCGCCACGTCTTCTTCAGCCTGTCCCATACACTTACACAAAACCAATATACCCTGCATTAGCATTCACCATATGTGCAGGGTATGCAAAATGTTAACAGACGCTGTTTATTCTAAGCTCTGGCCCCTTTTTTTGGGCATCCAACTTTCTATTTGCACTACATCAATTTTAGAGTAAGTGGAGCAGGGAAAGGAAAACAAAAAATAAATGAAATTACTGGCACGCTAGAAGGACGTCGCTTCATGCATCCTGCTGGGCTGCCTGTTGAGTAATGTGACTGACGCACGCGTCTCGAATACCAAAAGGAAACCTGAAATTAACCCCGAGGAGAAACACGGCAGCTGCTGCCGCTGCTGCTGCTGCTGCTGCTGCTGCTGCTGCAGTGGCGAAAGGGCTGACAAAGCGACTTGAACTGGTATTTCTTGTGGGCGCAGACCATCTGGATTGAGATCCTGGTCGACTTGACTGCTCTAAATCCGGCTGCCACGCCCTGCTGCCTTGTTGTGACAACCCCCCGATCGACTCCGTTTATTTATCCCATTTGGTGGTCTGTGAAGTCGTCGTCGTCGTCGTTATCAGCAGCCAAGTCCTCCAGCCGAGTAACTCCAACGTAAACAAATGCAACCCTTGGACTCTCCAGAGCTGTCCTCAGCATATTTATGGCCTTCGTTCGGCAAACTGGCAAAGAACAAAAGCCACTTTAATTACCTTGCTTTCTACGAGGCTTAACTTTATGATTCTCTTTTGCATATATTTTTAATATGTTTGTATTTGTTTTACTTAAGTAAACAAACAAAAGGAATCTCTGTGAACTAGCGGAAAAAACACCCTATTTTAAATATTGTGAGCTCTACCACATCATAAAATCGTTACAGATAGAACATTGCATTTAAGATAGATAGATAGATTTTTTATATTGTTTCCACGCCCATAGTGGGCGCTGATAGCTGGGTACTGGGTACTCGTTCAAATATTTCTATCAATATTTTGATAATAATGATTTAGGGAATCATCAATAAGTAAAAAAGTTAATTTTTATTAACACCTGGGCGTGGCAGTTCATTAGAGATGGTGTTAGCTACAATTTCGATTACCAGTGGGCGTGGCTCAAAAATTGAAAATACATATAAAGATTGACGACTTCAAGATTATTCATCCACACAGATCCATACAGCGTGCTCAAGTAGAAAAAATCTAATTAGAAAAATTGTTTGTTTTTTGTTTTGTTTCGCGAAAGCGAAAGTTAACACGTTAAGCAATGCGTTCGCTAGTCATAAACATTTACCCGTATTAATTATAATCATAAACTATAATTTTCACCCAAGAAAAAAGAATCAGTGACCGGAAAGACTGAACTTTTGCGGGCTGTTGGCTCAAAAAAAAAAAAAACAACAAAAAAAGAAAGCGAGTGATGCCATCTCTGAACATATGTAGAAGAATATGGATATATACATGTGTATGTATGTGTACAGTGATATATACAACTTTTTATTCGCTATATATATATTCGTAAGCAAACTTTAATCCAACTTCTCAGCTCGCTTCGCTAATCTGGGCACCAACAAAAAAGAAATTTTTGCAAAAAAAGTTGCGTGTGACATACCTTGGTCGAATAACCCTCCGGAAATCATGGGTCCTGTTTAAAGTTTTACAGTTGAGCGCATTTGAAATAAAACTAGTTATATTTGAGTGAGGCTGATTTAAAAGTTGAAAAATGAATTAGCCTTGTTTTTGGACTCACAATTAAGTGATATAATTTGATTATTCATAATATTATGATTTTTTAAATAGTTAACTTAATCAGCATACTTATAATATGAACTGATAGATGATAATATATATGAGCTGATATATACGTATTTACATTTATATATCTATTAATATATATCTATTATAACTATACTAGATAACTATAGTAGTTATCATATGATATAGACTTTAATTTAAGCTAATGTTTCGAGTCTTACAGTCTTCGAGAGTAACAGTTAATGTTGGCTTCAAAATTTCAAAAGTTCCAAACTTCAAATGAACAGAACAAGTTCAAATACAGTAGCACAGCAAAAAGAGTATGCAAATTGTTCCCACAGTTTTGTAATAAAGCTTTATAATTCATCCACCCACACACACGCAGCTCTTGAACTTTGCATTTGGTATTTTAGTTTTAATCAAGCACACCTACGCATCTGGGAGAGTGTCTCAAAATGTCTCTCTTGTATTTATATATAAATGCAAACATACATACATACATACGTACATGTATTTATGTGTTTATGCTCCGTTGTAATTTCACATTTTATCATCTTCTTTTGCATTTTACACGCAACTCGGTTGCGGAGGTGCCGCAAATATCTTGAAATGAAACTGGATTTCGTGGTATTTAATGTGTGGGTGTGGGTTGCGCATTCATGTGCGTGTGTTTGTGTGTTTTGGCATGGGGTCGCATGTCCATGTCCATGTCCATGTTGGCGCGTATGACACTTTTCTCTTTTATTGCATTATGACATTTATTTATGATCGCTCTTCCACCACAGGGCAGCTGTTATCGGAAAGGGAGTGTTGAGAAACGTCAGATCAAACGAAGTCTACGACTGTTTCTTTTCGAATAGCTATTTATATTGCATTTGCAATTGCGGATAATTAAAATGCAAATCAGTTATATTTCTGTATGTATGTTAATATTATTTATTAAAGCTAACTTGCTATCAAGTTCTCGCTTCAGTTGAATGTATTATTCATGCGTTTCTCTATAATGCATATTTCCTGACGTCTTGCCTGTTCTATAGGTACATTATCACGTACATGTGCATACGTACATACACATGCTAATATGCATACATTTGTACATATGTATGTACTTATGCCAAATGTCAAATGGATATCCAAGACAGAATTTCAATCGGACGGCCGAAAGTGGGGTTCAACTGAATCACACCTTTTCTGCCGTTGCTTTTAAAATTGATAAATGAAAAGTCGCATGCATGCATGCACGTGTATATATGTACATATACATAAACATACATTTGCATAAGCTCGCGGACTCCAACATGTATGCGTCAGCCTGTAGCTGTTGTTCAACAAGATCTGAACGAGCTCTGGGTGTGATATTGCGAATAAATCATGCAAATGTCGCACACACACCAACAAGCACGCACACACACACATACTCAAACACATGTATTACAGATGTCTAAGCGTTGTGTATTTCGTTTTTGCCATTTACTGTTTTTCTCATAATTGTTTTTCAAGAACAGTTAAAGAGAATCAAAACTTGCGTAATGCAATTAAGCCAGCTGAGAGCGACAGAGAGAGATAGAGCCCTTGACATAGTCAATAGCAGAGACAGTAATTGAAAAGAGATAGCCAATTGCCGTTGTCTAGCCAGACCGAAACCGAGGCGCAAAACAATTTGAATTCATTCAAAAACTCATCAGCCTTATTACTGTACGTCGAACAGCAACAATTCAAGTTTGGGTCATACTCTTTAATTAAGTAGCAGTAAAGAAATTTCTTAAATGTCGGTGTAAAGTGCGCGAGGGGGAAAGGCAGTTGTCATCGTAGACTTCTATGTAGATACGTATGTGCTAACTGTAGCGAAAGCAATTACTAAGAAACATCAAGAGAGTAATTATTGTGAATAGCGAGTATTCACTCTGAAAATATGTCACGGTATCTTGAGGTTATTTATGCATGTATTTTTCTACATATATATGTATGTATGTATGCATTTATCTATGTATGTAAATATGTATTTATGTACATACATATATCTTAAGCTATCAGGGTTAAAACAAACGGTTGATCCAATTTAGTAAAAACTACTTATATTTACGAATTCGATTTAAGTAAGCCATGCTTAGAAATATTAAAATATATTCTGTATTCATGTGGCATTCCAAGAAAAACGCTCGTCAAATCACAAACTAGATAAATATTTGTTGTAGTCGTAAACGTAAATTGTAAATCGTAAATTATGTTTACCTCTCTGAATCGATTCTTCCCCCGGATGAAGCTACGTCGCAATGTAAAGCTTACGACTAAGACGGATATCTTTTGTCATCTAGTTCTGGTCATTGTCTTACCAATTGTGCTGCTGTACGATTTCATAGTTGTGATACCTCAGTACCATTCACCTGGAGGATACGTCTATGCGGTAACGGTCATCTGCATAATCTTGCTCTATGTTAATGCAATGACAAATCTTATGGCCTGCATGATAGTCGATACATCGGTCGATCGTGAGTATTCTGTTGGTTAACTGGCTAACTGATAACGCTTAATGCCATCGCCCCTTCACGTAGATGAACGCATCAAAGATTTTGGCGCAGAGGACGATGAGTATACGAACTGGCAGCATTGCGAGATCTGCGATGCTTTAGCGCCGCCCCGATCGTTCCACTGTTCCCAATGTCGCACTTGCATTTTGACACGCGATCATCATTGCTTCTTCACCGGCTGTTGCATTGGTCATCAAAATTTCCGCTATTTCACCTGTTTGGTCGTCTATTCCGCATTGTTATCGAGCATTTTGATGTTCTACAACTTAAAGCATTTCTGCTTGCTTATGTCTCCGCTGTTTTCCGCTGTATTCCTTTCCGCATTAACGTTGAATCAGATTCTACATAATACTGTACTCTCACTGAACTTAATCTACATAATTTTCTCGGTTGGAATGATCTTCGTGCACGCACCCCTTGTGCTAAGAGGCGAACTAAGTTGGGAGCGTGATCTTAAGGATAAGCACAATTACGACGCTGGCATCTACTACAATCTGAGATCTATTTTCGGACAACATATGCATATCGCCTGGCTGTTCCCATTGTTCGCTAGTCAATTGCCTGGCGACGGCTACAACTGGAAGTTGATTACGAAAGATAAGTCAACGGAAACAATGGCGACCTTACGTTCTCGACAAGCCTAATGCTTCGGCGACAGTCGCCGAACATTATTTGATTAAAAAACATAAATTCTGTGTTTAAATCTGCAATATTAACTGATTACATTAGTCAACTGACCTAAATCTTTCTTGCACATTTTTTATTTAACTAAATTGAAATTTGCTCATTCGTGATTTAGAAGAAAATATATTTGTATTGGTAAGAAATGTATTTAATTCAAATCTCAATTTCTTTGCAATATCCCCGAAATATCTGTGAACAAACTTGGCTAAGAACTTGAGTATTCTGTTTATGCGCCTTAACTGCATTTGCATTGAGCATCGTGATTTAACGGATTTGGTACGTGTTGTCTGGCTCCATTGGAGCTGGCAATCTACGGTCAAGTCGAGGCCCTAAAGTGTAAATTGGCCATGTCCAGCGCTAATGGATCGACGCACGCCAGCGCAAAAGGAAAATGGAAAATGGAGAAACCGCTTATGGGCACAGAGACCACGGAGAGCGGAGCATAAATGGCAATGAATTGCCTGTAATCGTGCAGGAAAAATACCATGGAAAACTTGTTCAACACGAAAACACGCGCCAAAACAATTCCCAATGCGACGAGAAAGTTGACGAGGCCTCAACTGGCAACAGCCAACAGCCAACAGCCAACAGCTAAAGAGCTTGATCGAACCAACAGATGTTAAGAGTGTGAATAGCTATTAGAAGACCGTAAAAGGGTTTCACGTTTTTATTTTCCCACTGCACCCAGAGAAGTCATGAGACTTACTTAGTTGCAATGCCAAGCTATTAATATTTTCTATAAAATTTTATATATTTTAAGAATTTTATTGAAAAATACATTTTTGTTGGCCTTTCGCTTAAGCATATCTTTCAGTTTAAAGTCTAGGTACTTGCAATGATGAATATATTATACTATATTTAAGATATCTTAGCCCTAATATAAATTGCATAATAAAAATAAAATTTAAATTAGATACGTTTCAGTTAGATTGATTAAGTCGGAAAAAAAATATCATCTCTGAGAATCTCTAAGAGAAAAAGTGAATAAATTGATTTTAAATGCTTAAATAAATAAAATATAATATATATAAATATTATAAAAATATTTATAATCATTTTAGACAACCTGAATATCTAGCAATGCTGATAAGCTTAGTTATTTTTACTAAATTGCAGTCTCAAGGAAAGGAAGACAGAGGAACCGCCTAGGCAACTGCAAGCTTAAAGATATTTTTTAAGCATAAACGAGCAGGAAGAGCAAGCTCAGGGGAACCGCACTCTATATGCTCTATGGATTTCGGTAAAGTAAAAAGTGTTTTAAATTAAAGTTTTTGTAATTTGCATTTATTATTCACTTTTAAGATACTTTCTATATCAAGAGTTGAGCAAGTCAATATGCCCTTTGTGAGGGTGTTCGAAGTTAACAAAGTCGAAGTTGAAGCTCGTTGCCTGCATTGTAGCTGCGGCCAACAACTGCAAACAGTTCATAAACTTGAAAACTGGAAACTGAGAGGAGATAGAGAGAAACAGTCATAGAGAAAGACAGAGAGAGAGAGTGAGAGAGAGAGAGAGAAGACCGGTTTTGCAGACTTAAGAAATGCATAAGGCGAAAAAGAGACAAGCTCCAGCCATAAACATAAACGCTGGCAATCAAGTGAGGCTTGGCAGTCGCAAAAGAGGTCAAAGTTGAGCACGGCATTCACATGCGAGTACATATATGTACTTATATGCATATATATATATATATATCCATATATTTAAATACACTAATATTAACTTAGCCTAAGTGCGGCTTTATTAGAAGCTTGAACTGTACAAGGTAAACCCCTTCTCCAGCAGTCTAAACAGTTTTTTAATAACCTCTATTATGATTTCATATACTGACTGAATATAGAATATATTTATAAATAAAAGGGATATATCTTATGATTACAAAGAGGCATATTCAAACATTGCCTTCGTCTGTAATTCTCATAAGTTCGATAGAGAGCAATGATATAGACTTTTGCTCTACTTATAATCTCCCTTCAATATACTTTTTCTCCTCTTCTTCACTGTTTGTTTGTTTATAATTCGCTCTATCTCTCTTTTACTATACTTCTATCTTTATTCCCTTACTTTACTCATGATTACTCTCCCTTACATCATCCTATAATATTGCTTCTCTCTTTTTTTCTATCTCTCTCTCTCTTCCCCTCCCACTCTATCGCAGTTTATCCTTGTCTTACATTGTTTTTCTCTTATTCTCACTCACCATATATCTCTCTTCTTCTCTCTCACTCGCTCTTAATATCTGTCTAGGCTCTCCCACTCGCTCCTCTGCCTTTCTCCCTCTAACAATCTCTTTCTCATTGTATTCCTCTCTATATCTCTATCTCTCTCTTACTTCTATATCTCTTTCTCTCTCTCCCGCTCCCTCTCCCTCTCTCTCTCTCCCCCTCTCTCTCTCTCCCCCTCTCTCTCTCTCCCACTCGCTCTCCATTATCAAGACCTTCTATTACTAAGACCAAATCCAGGCACAGATCGTCGACTTACGTCTGTTTACATTCATGTCCGAGCTTGCAGCATTCCTATAAATTGATATTATTAGCAATCAACTCAAGTTTATTGTGCATTTGTATTATTAGCACTTATCCCATGGCACTGATTGCGCTGAGGATCTATTTATAAAATGCAGACGACTTCAAGTGAGAGTTCAGACGAATGCCATTCCATGAGTGCTACTCGCTCTTCATATGTCTGGGGTCTCTTATATTTACGATTGTTTATGTACAAATATCGCACTTAGTATAAACAATGAGCACGATCCTTAAACGTCTCCCACGACCCACTAGATGTCCATAATTACCTTCACGACACCGCCATTCAGATGAAATTATGAGATTGTAGCTTTCACACCCGATTGTAATTATACTTTTCATAATTTATGATCTTTTCCAAACACCTTTTTCCATGTTGGAACCCTCAATTAAAGTCGCAGTCATAAATCTGAGATGAACGCAGAAGCATGGGGTATACCTTTATATATATACATATATCTCTAAGATTCTAGTTGGAACTCTGGTTGAATACGTGTGCCAGATGCTGGCGTTGCTGCTTTTTGTCTTCAATAACCAGAAATCATGATGATCCAATAATTGAGTATGTATTTCGTGCATATTTTTTTAATACCACTAAAGTGTTTTGTGTTCAAGATCTGTTCACCATTTGACATACATCAGACACTGACAAATGAGCCTAAATATCATTTTTATATTTAAGTATAAATCAAAACTGTAAAACAATATTTATATATGCTTATAAAGTTTCATTTTTTTGTGAATATTTATTTATATATTGAGTATAGAACTTTTCCGAGAACTTGTGTGTTTTATGATTTGGGAAATAAATATAATATCAAATTGAGTAGAGCCAACTTGAGACTTGAGAATTGATCGAGCAAATGCAGTAAATATGAAATGGGAAAAATGTTTAAGCAGGGTATAAAGTGTTTGCTCAAATGTGTGTAATACACAGAAGGAGATTGGATATTTTCTCCTTTAAGTGTATATTCTTGAACAGCATCAACAGTCGAGGAGATGTAGTCCTAACTGTCTGACTTTTTGTGTGTGTGTGAACTATCTTTGGGTTTTATTTGGACTCTAAATTTCATATTTCATATTTCACATTCAAGTTCAAATGATCGATAAATCTTACCTCTTCCAAGCAATCGATTTAAATCGATATACCATTTAATATATATGAGAGCATAGCTGTTATGATTATGTTATGTTATGAACTAATTTCTCATTAAGTTTCATAAGCCAGTAAGTTGCAGTGCTGTGTTCAGGGTATCTTCGAGTCGCGCACTCCCAACCACAACAACTCGAACTAGTTGAAAATATTTTTTGGGGGCTGTGCAGAGCAACACTTTGGGATTCCGGTGTCGTAGTTCAATTTGAATCCAGCCGAAACGTCATTGAGCTGTCAAACTGAGACTCCAGACTGGCGGCAGTCGGTCTTCGAAACCCCGGCAAACAGCCTCGTGCATAATTATTTCAGATTCAATTAAAACTCGACCCTTCGTAGATCGCACTGATTGACAGGGGGAATCCTATTTGACATGCAGCAGGCGAGTAAGTGAATGCTGAAGGAGTTTGGGTTGGGCTTTGGTTTCTAGGAAGTCTATGAACAGCTCTTCACATGGCGGCATATTGTTCGGATATTTGCTATGTAGCTCTGTAGAGCTGGGAGTAAAATCGCTTTGTGTTCCAGTTAAGGCGCATTAGATCTTGGGGTGACGCCCGCTCTGCATGTCTATAAAAATCATATTAATTATGAAAATTGTGCCGGGCATTTATTAAAAGCAAAAAAAAAAAAAACAAAATCAAAGCGCATTCATTTACCCAAAAATATTTCACACAAATGGGCAGCCAAAGCTAATACAAAGTTTTTAATTAACAGCGACCACATTATTTATGGGCTTGTGAGAATTGGCTGGAGAGCCGGAGGATTAGATTGGGGGCAAGCGCTTGGCAACAAAGTCTTCAAAAACAATTTGAATTTTATTTGTTGATCAAAAGCTGTGCGTTTCGTTCGCTCTTCTCAATAATAAACTTTGCATATTTATAAAAGTTTATGGCGCTGGCCAGCCCTCGGCTGCAGACTCTTCGGGTTATGATGCGTGCGTCCATCGTCAGTTGCACACGTTCGAGATTTACAATTGGCCATAAATCTTGTGCGCTCCCCTCGCTGCTGACGGTGGCAGTTGCCCATTAAGCGACACCAGGAATCAAAACATTAAAAGTAGCGGTTGCCATTGAACAGGAGCTGAAGCAGAGCAGGAGCAGGAGGAGCCGTAGGAGGTGGAGTAGTAGCAACGGCCGCCGGCGGCGTCTGGTGGCACTTGCTTTCGCTTTTCAGGGGATGCTGACATGGCCATCTGCCTTATAGTAGTGTTAGTGGCTGCTACATGCAAGATGCAACATGCAGCGTGCAGCATGCAACACGTCTTCCAGTTTGTTTACTCCGTCTGTCATAAAATTTAAATGCGTACTTTGGCGCTAATTTAGTTGACGCTGGCGTCTGCCGATTTGCCGGAAGATGTGCATTCGCTTAATTGGATTGGCCCGTCCCCGATTCGCCG